GTTGACCAAACATTTTAAAACATATCACCTCCTAGAATGCAAAATGATTTATATAATAAATCTGATAAGCGCTGCCAGTTTTTCCTCTGAAAATCACACAAAGGATTCCGGCTTCAGCATGAGGGCTTTCTACCCCCGTTGCAGATATGCTCTAAGTTAACTGGAAGAGCTTAAAGCTAATAGTATACGTGGTAGTTAACTGAACAGTGCGAACCGCCTAGTCATCGCTGACTTTCAGCCGTCGGATGCTCACATCTCCAGCGCACAGCTATTTACTGCTTGATCCTCTTCTTCACTGAACTTCCACAGCGACAGCTGTGATAGTGCCTTGTGCCTCAGAGAGGAGCAGCACATCCACCCTGAGGCATAAACGACGCATGATATATGACAACAGGTTGTAGCATACTTCGAAGGAATTACTGCATTTCGACTTGGAATGAGCGGTACTGTCAAAGCAGTGTGCGCAAGGAAGAGCTGGACTAGTCATATGACAATAATGAGAGACAATAGATGGACAAAGCGAATTACTGAATGGTATTCAGGCAATGTTAAAAAAATACAGGGAAGGATGCTAATGCACTGAAAAGGTCCGCGTGAATGGTTTTGTAGAACTCTGCAGATGACACAAAGAAAGTAAAAATCTGACAGTACCAAACAGTAAATGCAACTGTACTTCCCAATGTGACAATATATTTCGAACAAGAAATCGGTAGAAAATCTCCGAGATGCACCTCAACAACATCCAGAAAAACAGTGGTAGAGATCGAATCCTTCCTGTGCTTAAATTTGTATGTGTGTGCGCGCGTGCATCTGTCTGGATATTTCAACTCGGTACCCAAGCAAGCTCTGGCGCCAAAATTTTTCCAGCGGCTTCCCTGGCCAAGTATAACCCCAGGACCGCGGTATCAACTCTTACGTAAGTCTGGGCCTCTTGTATAAGAGGGTGAAAGTTTTGGCGGGAAAATCGCTAACTCAGAAACCAGAGAAGCTAGAAAGCTGAAATTTTGAGGTTGTGTTCTCCGTCCACATAGAACTCAAAGATTTCAAATTCTGCCCTCAGGTGTGCGTGGTTCCTGCGTATAGCCTCGTGAGGATTTCTAGCGCGAAAATCGTTAACTTGGGAACCAGGAAAGCTGGGGAAGCCAAATTTTCAGGGAACGTTCCCAACACAAGTGCAACTTGCAATTACCAAATTCAGCTCTTCAGTTTGCGTGGTACTCACGTACAGCCCCATGAAAGTTTTTGGCGGGAAAACGGCTAACTCGGGAATCAGGAAAGTCAGCAGGCTGAAATTTTCAGGGCATGTTCCAGCCCATATACGACTTAAATTTATCAAACTCAGCCCAGGCGTGCGTGGCTGTGACGTATGGCCCCGTGAAAATTTTTGGCAGAAAAATTGCTAACTCAAGAACCAGAAAATTTGGAAAGTTGAAGTT